GGATGATTCGGAGGGAGAGCTATTTTTCGGATTTCAAGTGATCGTTCATACGATGTAAGTGCTTTCGGGTACTCGCCCATGTCATCATATGCCCAACCAAGTTTATGATTGTAATCTGATCTCTCTGTATCAGAAGATGCGTTTTGGAGAAGTATTTTGTAGAGTTTTTTAGCTTTTTCAGGCTCACCCACTTTAATGAGTATAAAAGCTAGTTGAGACCATCCTCGTATTGGTGCTTTCAAGTTGACCTCTTCGCGTACGTGTGCTGTAAGTGTATTTAGCTCGTGGTTGTCATTACCCACAAGGGTAAGATGAACTTTCCATAGACGATCCGTATGATCGTCATGAATTTGTTGAATTTTATCGATTCGAAATATTGTATGTGTTGTAAAAAGAATTTCAGCTTCTTGGCCTTCGAAAAAGCCAACTTGACTGACATCAGCAAATGGAATTTTTGATTTTGCACATACATCAGGATCAATAGTCATAATGAAGAGTATGCCAACTGTATTGGGATTATTAAATGCTGCTGGTCGTGCAAACATTTGAAAGGAAATATTCTGATTAAGACTTGCTGATAGAAAATTATTGAAAGACATTAATTCATTTATGCTTTTTTTCATTTTTTCAAAATCTTCTAATGCTAAACCTTGACCACGATAAACTTTGAACGGAGTAGCTGTGTTCATGTTCTCAGATTGTTGTTTATGATATAAATTTTGAATGTGTTGATGTAAATGACGAATAAAAAAGCCCATTTTGAGTATAATATTAATATCCATAAGTCGAAGTCCACGATTAAGCATCGGATAAATGAATGTGTCAGCTGTATACCACCATATTGGCGTGTGATTACGATATTGATTTTCAACTCGTTTAATTTGATCTTCAAGAATATCATCCTGTTCACGACAATATTCAGTCAGGTCTTTGAGAGATTTTCTATCGTCATCTTCGATTTCTAAAAGTGCTTCCTTTAACAATTGTGTATACATAAACAGAGGATCGAGACCATTAAAACTAACCGAGATCATAGCTTGATCACATCGTTGTCGATCAATTTCTAGGGCTTTACAAATTGGTTCAATTTTTGTGTATACTCCTTTGATCTTCGGTACCTTATTGGTCCATTGTTCATGGTAAGATTGATTACTACAGAAAACATACACGGATTCTAATTGTGGTATGGCTTCCATTTCTGGTACTATTTTCTGTCCAAGTGAACCCGATACGATCATAAATGCCTTTTCCTTTGTAATACCACTAAGATAATCGAAACATTGTTGAGCATCGGTGAATGTTGTAATGGATGCTACAATTCGTCGTAAATGTTTTAACGAATTTTGAAAATCTTCCTTTGACTCGTCAACATTGGCATCGAGCCAGACGAGAAGAAAATTCTGAATAATTCGACGAGCAGGTTGAGGAAGCGCAGCACTTCTGCCCATCGTTGACACTGATGCTGCTGTTGATGATGATGTTTTCTTTGGTTTATTTGTTGTGGACGATGAAGAAGATTCACTAGCAGTTGATTTTGAATGTTGCTTTTTGTCCATTTGGATGATGTTGACAATAATAATGGTGTTCTGTTTTTGGCTAATAAATAAATAAATAAAAATGTGAATACTTGTTCGATGGCGATGAAAAGAAAGAATGGACAAAAACAGAATTCATCTCTCTCTCTAGATATTTTTTATTTTAGTTTTTTTCTTCTTTTGTGTTGACACTTTTTGTTTTTTGGTTTGTTATTGCTGTTGCTATAGAAGACTTGAAGGTTTTCTTATTTCGATCTCTTGTTCGTTCGTTTTTGTTTTTTTATTTCAAGAGTTTTGTTTTTGACAAAACGACAGTGATGAAACATGTGACGAACAAAATCTTTGTGCATCTGGCATGAAAACAAGGAATCCGTCCAAAAAAAATGAATAACTACACTATTGATCGATCGTTATTCGTAGAAGAGAAAAAAAACGAAAGATTATGAATAGAATCTCAAAATGAATTGCTTCGTATATTGTTTGTTTGCATTGTTTTTTATTTTTCGTTTGCTTTTATATGGTCTCATTAGAAAATTCTTTTATCTTTGTCTATGTTTCTATGTATAAGATATCTTGAATCAGTAAAATAGGCCTCTTACCAAAAGACAAACCAAAGTGAAAAAGAAAACACGACACTACTCGTTTCTATTGTGACCTTTTTTCTAGCAAAGTATTTATTTTAATCATAATACAGTGTGAAAGCAAGAAAAAAAGCAAATTTCTTTTTTAATTAATGTAAAAATGTTTAAAACATATTTTTTTTCTGAAGAAACAACAGAAGTTTCTTTAGTTTATCGATAGAGATCATTCTCTTTTTTTGTTGAATTGGTTGTTTTGCTCAAGTCATTATGTTTTG